GATCAATAGTGTCTTTTCTTTCTTTCTTTCTGAAAAGTCTTTGAAATGATGAATAGCCAAAAAAAGTTAAAAGAATTGCATTGTAATTGAGACCAGTTGATGTATGCCTACAATTAAGTTACAATGAAGTTAGTCGTAGCTATATGACCCCCAAAACATTGTCTCTATTGTTATAAATGAGTTGCAGTCTGCCCACAACTTCTCTATCTCCAGTGTGGGTAGGAGGGTGCTGCAGGGACTTGTCTGAGCAGTTAGAGTAAATCCACAGCCTGAGGAGGTTGGACCCATGCTCCACCTCTGGCCATCTGCCAGACACACAGAGAGAGAGGTCTGGGGGACAGGGACAGGAGGAGTAGGGTTGTGCACACAGTGCACTTTCGGAATGCATTTACCTCCGTCCCCAGACAGACACTTCCCAGACAGAGTGACATAGAGAGAAAGATAGTGAGGATTGCTGACCAATTCTTTGGACACACAGACAGTCGGACAAACACCTGATGACACTCGCTGTGTACACACAAACTCCGTGACTTCCAGTTTGGCTGTAGTTGTTTGGGTAACTTCTACACTGTGGGTGAGGGACTGCATTATCCCAGTGGAATACAGGCATGCCTATGGGGCAGCAGGCAATGTGCTCTTCTAATACTGGACACTTGAACTTCACAGTTGAACTCACAAACCAGTGACCATGATTTATTTTCTGCTGGAGGATTTTATTTCATGGAAAATAGTCTACTTGAAAAATGTCCAAAAGTTGTCAGATCCATCTCAATGCACCACTGGTCACAGTGGGGACCGTGGAGGAAGCACAGCAAAGTAAGTACTCGGATAGATTAGTCACACCTCTGACAGAGAGCTCTCCTTTGATTGTCTGATAAGTATTAGGACCAGAGTAAGAACTAAGCAAGGGATCGTGCCTCATAGCAGTCATTACTCATTGGCTACTGTGTGTGTGTCAGGGGAAAACGCCCGTTCTCACTGCAAGCATGCTGAATTAGACAGGGAAAGAAGACGAGAACCATGGTAGATTTAATTCAAAGACCCCCATTCATGGCCCTTTTTATAGAGTGAGCCTTGGGTTATTGTCAGTTCAAATTCAGGGTCATGGGAATATTCAATACTACCCTGATTGTTGTTGTTCCTTGTTCATTCAGTTGGAAAGGATAAATATATGTGTATGTGTGCCTTTAAGAAAACTCCTATACTGTATACATATTTCAGTTGTGTCTTTGACAGCTGACAGTTCTGTATGTAGTAGCAGCTGACAGTTCTGTATGTAGTAGCAGCTAAAAGTTCTGTTTGTAGTAGCAGCTAACAGTTCTGTTTGTAGTAGCAGCTAACAGTTCTGTTTGTAGTAGCAGCTAACAGTTCTGTTTGTAGTAACAGCTAACAGTTATGTTTGTATGTTTGTATTAGCAGCTAACAGTACTGTTTGTAGTAGCAGCTAACAGTTCTGTTTGTAGTAGCAGCTAACAGTTCTGTTTGTAATAGCAGCTAACAGTCTGTTTGTAGTAGCAGCTAACAGTTCGGTATGTAGTAGCAGCTAACAGTTCTGTTTGTAGTAGCAACTAACAGTTCTGTTTGTAGTAGCAGCTAACAGTTATGTTTTGTAGTAGCCGCTAACAGTTCTGTTTGTAGTAACAGCTAACAGTTCTGTTTGTAGTAGCAGCTAACAGTTCTGTTTGTAGTAGCAGCTAACAGTTCTGTTTGTAGTAGCAGCTAACAGTTCTGTTTGTAGTAGCAGCTAACAGTTCTGTATGGTAGTAGCAGCTAACAGTTCTGTTTGTAGTAAACAGCTAACAGTTCTGTTTGTAGTAGCAGCTAACAGTTCTGTTTGTAGTATGTAGACCATAAGGACGTCATGTCAGCTGGCCATACTGTTTTGACAGTGTCATTGTTTTCAACAGTTTGTTTTCCAGACCCAGTGATGTTTGTCTTTAGGGTTTGTACTGTAGCAGGCTTTTGTTGTTTGCGTATAGCGGAGGACTTTACTCATACTCACTCTGAACACTTAGACCATGTAGTACTGTACACAAACTGTTTGGTCAGCCTTGAGGGAGTGTGCCTTTTGGCTGGACAGCTTCTTCTGACAAACAATACATTTGAGACTGGAATTATCATACTCTTAAAATACTGAGTAACAACCCTAATCAACTCTACAATAAAAAAAAAAAAAAATGCAACTTGTTCGAACTTCTCAGCATGTGAAATGTTAAGGGAATAATATTACATGGTGATAAATTCATTGTTGTGGTTAATCAGTTGAAACATGGATGAGCATGCTTTACTTTGGCAAAACAGGTCAGTCAGTGTTGACTATGGAACAGGGTCAACTTCAACCAGGGAGGGGCGGATTAGTTCACACAGATGGAATCTGTTAGAAAGTCCAGTAAAGTGTTGATAAGAAATGGACGTTGGCTAAATTCCTTTGGGACATTATAGTCCTACATAACATGTGACTGTATCATGTAGTATAGCGTGTAAGATGCTGCAGTTTCCAAACTGTTGTTTTCTTGATGTTGATGAATGGTTGTACTGGCAACCTGCCCAGACTGAGCATGATGCAGACCATCTCCTAACGTATAGCTTTACAACCCAACATGACAACATGACAGGCATGCTGTCTAAGAAGCTTTTTGTGTGTCAGACAATATACTGTACCTCTTGGCAATACAGTAAATCTCAGACATACAGTAGAGTGTCATGTTCTTGTTGTTATTGTCATGGAATATTGTCTTAACTGGTGTCATCATCAATTGAAGAAAGATGTGGCTTGGACTTACTCTCTCTGTAAGATGGGATGTGTCCCTCCATTCAGGCTCACAGCCCAGGCCCTTTAATATACTGTATCAATTGATGTGTACCACGCTGGGGATTTACGTATGTGTTGCTCTCTGAGATGTAAACATCCTTTTAAAATGATTATTTCAGTAAAAGAGGAGTCTCACAAACGATTAGGCGAGTGTTTGTTTCCACAGGGCCAGTTGAGTAATGCCGTGGAGAACTAATGTATAACAAATTCATTGTGTGATGGTGCTATGAAAGCATATGTTATAGTACAGAGTTCACACAGTCAGTATTCAGACACAGTCTGTATCCACCATGGGAACACATCCCTCACTAACACTGATACAATACTGAATAGAGTTTAATTAATGTCCACTTTCTCCTCTCTCCAGACCACAGATTTGTTTGAAATGATTGAGAAGATGCAGGTAAGGCATTTTGGATATTACATCTTTTTTAAATCTAACCTAAACTTTCGAAGCAAGGCAGTGCCACTAACCAGTGAATTAGTCTATATGTGATGCTCTATTGGCTTTGCATTACAGTAACAATGGCTTGTCTTGACCTTTGCTCTGTACTGAGGGTCAGCAGGGCTAACAGACAGTTAGGGTAAGACAGTGTTAGAGTAAAGATGTCAGGACAATAGTGGTATGTCTGGACAGACACTCTTATGATACTTCTACCCAGCCTCCCGCGCTGCTAATTATCATGCTTCAAAGAACACACAATAACCCTCTGTCCTTTGAAAGCCATTACCATCCTCCCTACCAAAAATAGAGGAATATAGGTTAACATGGCAGCCTTTGCACTACTGCATCATAAGGCAAGACCGTGTTTGATACATTACAAAATATTGGGGAACAGGGTGTCCTTTTTACACTGTCTGAAAGTACATTTTTACTTTAACAGATTACTTTATTGTACTTACTGTAACAGCAAAAGTATTAATAGAGGATTTTCATCTTTCTCTAGGTATGATGTATTATTTCAGGATTATTATGAGAAAAGGAAACCAAATTATTGGACTTGAAGAAAATGTATTTTTATGCTGTATGTTGACATAGTTATGTGTAAAGGCATGTCTTTGAACAGAAGATAATCTGTTTGTTTGCCAAATGCTCCAGGAATTCTTCCTCTCCTCTATCTCAGACAGCATATCAAACAGACAGCAGCAACTATCAGCTCCATCATATCAAACAGACAGCAGCAACTATCAGCTCCATCATATTAAACAGACAGCAGCAACTATCAGCTCCATCATATCAAACAGACAGCAGCAACTATCAGCTCTATCATATCAAACAGACAACAGCAACTATCAGCTCCATCATATCAAACAGACAGCAGCTACTATCAGCTCCATCATATCAAACAGACAGCAGCAACTATCAGCTCCATCATATCAAACAGACAACAGCAACTATCAGCTCCATCATATCAAACAGACAGCAGCAAACTATCAGCTCCATCATATCAAACAGACAGCAGCTACTATCAGCTCCATCATATCAAACAGACAGCAGCAACTATCAGCTCCATCATATCAAACAGACAGCAGCAACTATCAGCTCCATCATATCAAACAGACAGCAGCAACTATCAGCTCCATCATATATAACAGACAGCAGCAACTATCAGCTCCATCATATCAAACAGACTCACAGCCCTCACATGGTCAGTGCTTTACCCACATGTCTGTAGCCACTATCTAAACACACTCATGGACTGAGATACAAACACTCAGCCCTTGTGTTTTAGGGGCATTTCAGGCCGCATACCGTATGCCAAGTCTTTCTAAGTGACACAGTTCCAGCGGTCTTATTACTGCGTCCATGCCTTTGTCTTTCAGGTTAACTGGCTGCTCTTTTCACAGATGAATTCCTTCTATGCATCTCCCTACCTATCTCTCTATCTCTCTCCAACTCCCCACTCTGCATCCCTTTGCTCTTTTGCCTGCTTTCTGTATTACACACATGGATGGCTGTGTTACCTCTTTGTCTGTTGATAATATGATTAGTCCTCCCTGTACTTTGTTACTCCTTCTGGAACTGTGGATTCAGATGTAACTAATCTGTCAGATAAGATGTACGACACGGTTGTGAATCAGTAATAATGATGAGCATCTCTGGACCGTTGACTACCTGGGGTTGGAATATAACATCAGCTATCATGTGTAACTAACATGTGACCATTCTCTCTTCTTCTTTCTCTCTCTCTCTCCTCCTCTCTCTCTCTCTCTCTCTCCTCTCTCTATCTCTTCTCTCTCTCTCTCTCTCTCTATCTTTTTCTCTCTCTCTCTCTCTCTCTCTCTCTCTCTCTCTCTCTCTCTCTCTCTCTCTCTCTCTCTCTCTCTCTCTCTCTCTCTCTCTCTCTCTCTCTCTCTCTCTCTCTCTCTCTCAGGGCAACAGAATGGACGAGCAGCGATGCACCTTTCCTCCCCCACTCAAAGTATGCTGGCTCTCAAGACCTCTCTCACACTGACACACAGTACCTCCATTGTCTCACTGCTCCTCATATCTCTCTGTAGCTGTCTGCTGACAGCGTAAAGACAAGAGAAAAATGTGGTCCATGCTTACAGTTCACAGCACTCATAGTGCTCAAATCTAACAGCCCTCCATATCTAATAATATATAAACTAAGATGGTTATAAGGATAGAATAAATGTTACAGAGTAATATAATCATCACATCCCTGCAGCCTCATTGTCTGTATCAAAGCTGAAAGGCACTTTGGCTTGGATTTAATGGTTTAATTCAATTAGTAGTATCACTGAAGCCTACTGAGAGACAAATGTCTTACTTGGTGTGTCTGTGTTATTCCCTCTGCAGACTGAGGAGGACTACATTCCTTACCCCAGTGTCCATGAGGTATGTACAGACTCAACAACAATACAGTCATTTCACCAGTAACATGGATTTGGAGTATTTGTGCTTCATGGTTGATATTTCAGTATTCATTGGAAATCACTATCACATTGCTTGGGCAAAAAAGACCCCAACCTCTCTGTGCTCATCTCTATGTTGTGAAACAGGTGTTAGGGAGAAAGAGCAGGTTCCCCCTGATTCTGCTACCTCAGTTTGGAGGTTACTGGATCGAGGGGAACAACCATGAGCTGAGTGACAGTACTGACCCAGACCAGATCCAGCCTCTGTCCCCAACCACACGCAACAAACTGGAGAGTAACTCCACCGCCAAGATCTACAGGAAGCACTTTCTGGGCAAGGTGAGGCAGAACACTGGGACTGTTGTGAAGGAGTTTGGCTGAGTGGTAACTGCATGAGACTGGGGTTTGATTTCCGCTTCAGCATTTCTGTACTTTGTCTCCTCCTTAACCCCCCCTGTCCTTCAAATCACTTCCAACTGCTCCTACAATAATATGACAAAAACAAGCACCGTGGCTGTACATTTATGTGGGTACAAAACATTTGTAAAGCACCTTTCATACAACATATTGCAGCCCAAAGGGCATTCTACTAGTATGGAGAGACCATAACTCATAGGTAAGTGTTTTACAATCAATGTCCCTTCCTATTCATTACAGTAATGAAAGAGCGTAACCTAATAAGAGTGACTCTTCATGCCGGTTGACACTTCAGAGACTGGTGCTAATGAAGATGCATTAGGCTTTGCCACGTTTTACACCAGCCAGAGTAATATTAACAAATCTAATCTGCCCATAGAGGTGAGGAAAGATTCTGAATGGAATGGCAGCAGTTGCCTGGCACAGAAAGCCTACTGTTAATGAATTAACTAATTAAAAGTGTTTGTGTGTGTGTGTCTGGGTGTGGGTGTGTACTCGCGCCTGTGTGTGAAATTTGAGAGAGAAAATGGTCTCTTCGGCTGACTGTGTCCTTGTGCTGCGTCACCAGGAGCACTTTAATTACTACTCAGTGGACGGAGCTCTGGGACATCTGGTGTTCTCCCTGAAGTATGACGAGATCGGAGACCAGGAACACCTCCGCCTCATGCTTAGGTAAAACAACCTTAGCCATCCACCATCATCATCATCATCATCATCACCATCATCACCATCACACTATCATCACCATCATCAACACCATCATCACCATCATCATCATCATCATCACCACCATCATCATCATCACCACCACCACCACCACCACCATCATCATCATCATCATCACAACCTTCTCTCTGCTGGCTCTCATCCCTGTCCCCTCCTCCCCTTCCAGCCCCACTTTCTCCTTTATCAGGACACTGTGTATACATACAGTAGACTGTAAACATACTGATACTGTTTACATACGTCTGTATCTCTACAACTGAGTAATGCCCAGTTGTAGCTCTGCTGTAATCAAGGAAAAGTTGCTCAAATTAGAATGTCCATTCATTTCCAGTGTTTATAAATCTTTCCCTTTTGTGGTGATAATCCCGTTCTCCAACTGATAGTCTTATCATAGGAGTCATAAAGCCAGGGAGAGTGTAAACACCGCACTGTCATTTCCTCATCCGCATGATGTGACAGAAGGACTATTTAGGTCAGTGAGTGGGTGGAGGGATACGGATATAGGGACTAGGGCAGGGCTGGGTTAGTTATCTACAGTAGCTAGATGATCCATTCCGGTTGCCCAGCCCATGTGACACACTGACAGAAGTGTTGCATCACTATGATCATTATGAGAACATGTTGTTATGATTGTCATCACCAGGACCAAGCTGAAGACCTATCATGATGTGATCCCCATATCCTGTCTCACAGAGTTCCCTAACGTGGTGCAGATGGCCAAGGTGAGAACATGGTTAGATACAGTTTATCAAAACATATGTTAAAAAGACGTTGAAAAGTGTCATAATTGTATCATAATGACATTTGATGAAAGCATCCATGATTTGGTGTTTCTTCTTTTTGACAGCTTGTCTGTGAAGAAGTGAATGTGGATCGCTTTTTTCCTGCCCTTTACCCAAAAGTAAGCCTTGGGTTTTGAAGTGTTCTGCTTCTGAGATATTTAACAACAGAAATCTACCTTTACATAGATAGTTAACATTTGATACTGACTATTCATTTAATCTGTGATCTGTCAACAGGCTTCAAGACTCATCGTCACTTTTGATGAACATGTCATTAGCAACAACTTCAAGTTTGGAGTCATCTACCAGAAGTTTGGACAGGTGAGCCTTGTTGATACATCAAGACCAGTTAAAACGATTGGTAGCACTAAATACAGTGCACATCAAATCATCATAATGCCGAACTCAAGTACTGACTGAGTCCTGACGTGAATTCATTAACATGAGTACCCTCTCTTGCAATTCTCATAAGAAAATGAATATGTTTAAAGGGCATGATGATGTGGCCGGTGACACTTTGCTTCTTAAAAGTCCAATATCTTGAAAACTTGACTGCTGACATGCAAAACATTTTGGGACTGTATCAACAGTGGACTAATGAAAGAAAAATTGTTTTTAGTGGAGTTTCCCTTTAATGCTTATCCTCCTCCCCCATCACGTTCATAGAGTCTCTCTAAGCCTAAGCCAACTATATTTCTCTCTTCAATATTCCTTCTCATTACAATCACAGCACTATTGTTTACTGCACTGAGCCAGATAGGCTACTGGAGCCTCAACAGAGGGTCCTTGTATCTTTTCATGGAGCCTAGGGAGTGGAACTCCACATCCTTGACCTTTAACCTCTAAAGGAGAGGGTCACACTCAGCAGATATAGGCTCCATCTCACAGGGGCTCCAGGGGCTTCAAGAACCCTCTCCTCAGCACCCAGAGAGACATTAACATGCAGGAGAAACACTGGGGATTGAATCCACATAGAAAAGCAAAAGCTAGAGAGAGAGAGAGAGACAAAGCACAAACACACAAAGGTCTGAGAGGTCCCAATCAACCTCACTCATAGATGTGTACACACACACAGAGTCACTCCAGTCAGAGCACAAATAAACTCACTAGACAGACAAAAGCACTCTCTCTCGTCCGTCAAAGCAAAGGGCCTCTCCTGTCTTCTCATCTCACAGTGTGTGTAATTGATAGCCAGGAGCGATAAGCTAACCCTCACCTCATGTCTTCGCATCATATACGCTTATTGAAAGCTTGGTCTTCCTTCCTCCAAGCACTGACCTTAGAGATCTAACCTTGTTAAATGAGAACGGTGTGATATTATGAATAACCATGTTCACTGTACTGTATGTTTGTAATTCAGCCCAATGCTAATCATGCATTATGCTGATGGATGCTAAGGGTACTTTGGTCGGACGTACTATAGATTTTCTAATGCAAGTGTTGTTGACAGTGTTTTTATCTTGATGTTTGTTGATGGGTCCTGAAGCATAGTTTTATCCAGGTCCCTCTTTTGTGTGCATTCTGTGATCAGGGACAAAGGTTGTATTGTTATTCACTCATTATTATAGTTTGTATTAGCCATAATAATTATAGTATTCACAGTATAGCAAAGAACTTACATCTTCTCAAATATGTCATCATGAGACCTTCATATATATGACATGACAATACGTTATATAATCCTCATAGTGCTTTGGTCAATGGCAGTGTTATTCTTCAAATGTATGACTGCTGTTAACCTCTATAAAATCCTTGTTTGCAGACATCAGAAGTAGAGTTGTTTGGAAACAGTGACGAAAGTCCTGCCTTTGTTGAATTCCTAGAGTTTCTGGGGGAGAAGGTTGAGCTGCATGACTTTAAAGGGTAAGAACTTCCACCACAACTTTTTAATATACTCATTCAATAACAACAACCAGGATATTGTATTGATATCCTTAACAGTGTGTTGGAGAAAGAGGTGGTTTCACTGAATGGTCCTGTCTATCTGTCTAGGTTTCGTGGTGGGTTGGATGTGACCCACGGCCAGACAGGCTCTGAGTCCGTCTACCACAACTACCGCAACAAGGAGGTCATGTTTCATGTGTGCACCAAGCTGCCTTACACTGAGGGGGACACACAACAGGTACTGTACCAGCCTCCCCTGCTCTACCTCTCCTGCTCTATACATTTGATACAAACTTTCATCATCACACTGAGTTTCTGTCATGGATCATGTTTTAAAGTAGTAGAAGGAGCATTGGTATTCATATGATCTATTATGATTGAAAACATAATGGAAACATCCATGCAGCGGATATATATTTCAGTCCAGTCTTACATGAGTAACTTTCTCAGTCTTCACTCATCAGGGAAACTGTCACAACACAAACACAGACAGACACCTTATCAGGACTCACACCAACAATGTCTTAAGCCTGTCTGGACAAACACACACCATAAGTTATCAGGACGGACACACACAATGTGTAATCAGAGCCCCCAGCTGCAGTGGGAGAAGCCGATTGAGAGTAAAGCCAATCAGAGCTGTTGTCCAAGTTGATATGGTGGAGCAGCAAACTTTCCCCTAGTGTTTGTTTGTCCTGGCTCTTCAGTGGACAGCCAGACATCTGCTGTGAGAGAGAGGGACGGAGGGAGAGGGGAGAGAGTGAGAGAAAAGACAGACAGACAGACAGACAGACAGACAGACAGACAGACAGACAGACAGACAGACAGACAGACAGACAGACAGACAGACAGACAGACAGACAGACAGACAGACAGACATGTTCTTGACCATTCCATGTGATATGAATGCAGAGTTTTTTAAACAAGTTGCTGTGTTGTGTTGTGTTGCAGTTGCAGAGGAAGAGGCACATAGGGAACGACATCGTGGCCATAGTGTTTCAGGAGGAGAGCACTCCCTTCGTACCAGATATGATTGCCTCCAACTTCCTCCATTCCTACGTAGTGGTGCAGGTGGAGAATGCCTGCACTGATAACGTACTGTACAAGGTGCTGTATCGATCCCTGATCTTCACTAATAAACACATAGACTGTCTCATGTAGCCCACCAAACTATCATACCATACACACAGTATATCATCACCATTCATGGCACATGTGATTGTCATCTGTTAGGTGTCAGTGACAGCGCGAGATGACGTACCTTTCTTTGGACCTCCCCTGCCAGACCCGGCCGTCTTTAGAAAGGTGAGTTGGTCCAACTTCAATCCCAACTGCGGTGGACTACGGTCAGCTTCAGTGTTTTCTCCCTCCTCCATCAATTTCCTCTTTTATCCCAGGGTCCAGAATTCCAGGAGTTCCTCTTCACAAAGCTCATCAACGCTGAGTATGCCTGCTATAAAGCTGAGAAATTTGCCAAACTGGAGGTGAGTTATTCTCAATCTCAGTCATGGTTTTCAATGCCAGCCAGCCTTATTTTGGCAGACAGTGTTTTCAGTGTTTCTCTGCCAATGTGTGACACCTACCATTACTTATCATCTGTGAATGCTTTTCTGGGAATTTGTTTGCGTGCATGCGTGGTTATGTGTGTTTGTTATCAGGAGCGTACACGGTCCGCCTTGCTGGAGACGCTGTATGAGGAGTTACACATCAACAGTCAGGCCATGATGGGTCTGGGAGGAGACGAGGACAAGATGGAGAACGGGTCCGGAGGAGGAGGGGGCTTCTTTGAGTCCTTTAAGGTAACCAGGCACAGCTGGGAAAAGGCTTGGGGCAATAGGCTTAGTTTGCACTGACTAATATGTTTTTACACATCAACACTTGTTCCTGAATATGTAGCTTAACTGAAACTAAAACAGAGAACCTTTTATATCTTATAGTGGCACAGTTTTTTTACACTGCACTATTTCTCTGTTGTTCCCCCTTGGTTGTACAGGTTGTTGTCTGTCTGGGGGTTTCCCAGAATGTCCATGTCCATAAATAATACAGGACACTGGAGTAAAATGCTTGATCAATCTCCATTAGTCTGTCTGGGGAGCAGCTCTGTCTCTGTGCTCTGCTGCTCTGTCCTGTGGGCTTACTGAATGAATGGCTCACCAGCTTCTCAATGTCAGGCTTCATGTGTTGTGTTGTGGTGTGTTCTGTCTGCAGCATGCTGCCTTGTGTTTGTGACATAGCTGGCTTTATTTCCTTTGTTTCACCCTTCCAGATACATACAATACTAGTTATGAAAATGGGCATACACTCACGTATCTCTCTCTCCATCAGATGTTCTATCTCTGTTTCTCTGTCTCTACCTCCAGTCAGGTCCTCTGGGTTCATTGGTTTTGGATGCTCTCCAACTGGTGTTAACTGTGGACATAAGCAGGCAGATATCTCCCTCACTGCTCTACAACCCCCCATTGTCTTCCCACCCACCTACGCTGACTAAGCCCCTGTCCGCTTGGGGACTACAAGCTTAGTGTTTCTCCTTGCGTCTACCTTAGTGTTGGATGGGAACTTTCTGGGTCCCGCTATGTATCTCGTAGTTCCAGTGTTGTTCTCCTCACTATGATTCTGTAGCTAGCAGTGGTGGGGTTAGATTCAGTACCAGCTTAGTGCTTGTCCTGCTCACTCTGACTGAGGTGGTTAGTTAGGGTTAGAGTCAGTGCTAGACCCAGCTCAACGTGTCTCCTCCTCGTCTGTCTCTGTAGCGGGTGATTCGCAGCAGAAGCCAGTCTATGGATGCCATGGGTCTCAATTTCAAGAAGCCACACACTGTCTCCACTAGTCTCAGCGTCAACTTTACCCACAACCCACCTGAGAGCCCCAAATTCCCGGGGATAGTAAGTACACTAAAGTAACAGTACCACTGACAGCTCTGGTCTTGGGTGAGGTGAGCGACGCTCTCTGTCCCTTCCCTGAGAAACCCTTGATAGAGCCCAGTCCTTGCCCCTTCACACGCCTGCCTAACTCACGAACCTCTCACACAATAGACATGGATAAGTCTTCACTCACACAACCTCTATAAGCTAGAGTTACTAGACACTCACAACTTAGCCTTGCATTGACATTTGTAGTCAGGTGAGTTACCTCCTTGGCACTAAGGTGCTTTTAACATTGAATGCATTCTAATATTGTTTTCATTATTAAAATCCCCTGCCCATGCATTGCATCTGAATGGGTCCCTGCACTGTGTGCTCTGTGTACATGCCAGCTCCAGCTTGTGCTTGATATTTGCTGTGTGATGTTTATATCAAGAACACGCCTGTTTGTTATAAGAGTTCAAGGGGAGTATGTAGTATGTACATGATGTTTAGTGCGTACATGGTGAGTATTTCTGAAACATTTGTCAGACAGATGGAATGATATGACACTCCAGTGGCATTATCAAAGTGTGGTTTCTGGGGGTTTTCTGGAAAAAATGTATGTGAAATTCTGTATATTTGGGGTGTAGTATATCATTGACACTGACTTTGTTAATGAAATGTAGGATATTATTTTATTAATTATAACAAATCTACTGTATAACAAATCTTAAGAGGACGCTAATTTGTTCACTCACAAGATCATTGTCTACTAGATGGTCTCTTGAAGCCACACAAATGTTAGTCCAAGATTTCACATCAAAAGGACAGGCTCAATGATACCCAACATTACTTATTGGTAATTCAAAGCATGAAACAACAACAAGTGCTTTTCAAACGTGTAACCACCCTGTATGTGACAGTACCGGAGGCTTTCTTCATGTTCCTGTCTGCTGTACTCTCTTACCCTGTAACGTACTGTATGTACTTGTCTGTGTTCTGCTATCCTCTTTCCCTTTCTGCTCAAGTCCTTCTCTTCGTTTCACTGCCTGTGTCGCACCAACGGTGCCCAAATTCTCTCTCTGTCTCTGTTTTATTACTGCGCTTTGATTTGTAACCTCCGGCTGTAACATGTGCTTTAATGTATTTTGTTTTATTAACATAACTTGCTGCATGAAATCTCATGTTGTTTTTATCTCCTCTCTCTCTTTCTCTCTCTCCCTCTCTCTTTTTCTCTCTCTTTTTCTCTTTCTTTCTTTCTCTCTTTCTTTCTCTCTCTCTCTCTCTCTCTCTCTCTCTCTCTCTCTCTCTCTCTATCTATCTCTCTCTCTCTCTCTCTCTCTATCTCTCTCTCTGTATGACTCAGTCATTACTTGTCCCAGGGAAAAGTCCCAGTAAATATGGACGTCGAGGCAGTGCCATAGGGATAGGAACAGTAGAAGAGGTTCATATCTAATTCTAACTACTCCATCCTTACTACTCTACCCCTCTGTCTCTTTTTTCTACATGACTCCATTGCATCGTGACCAAACACTTTTCCTGTGGTTGATCAGTGAACCATAACATTAGGATTCCAGGGCAAACACTCCATAAATGCAAAAGGCCGACTCCTCGTATAATGAAATACATGACTTTCTTAGCAGGAGATTGCATCTATAAAGTATTGTACACATGCAGCTATAGTTTTACTGAGACACGTGAAGTGTCTTGCCTCTTTCAACTGTTCGAACTACATCACACACTTTACATTAGTCTTTGATCCATGTAACATCAGATGAAGATACAACGCTAGCACAAATAACGTTTTGTATAACTGCATAAAGACAAGTGGTCAGTTTGATGCTGTAGCACTTCCCCTTAGCCCTCACCTCACTGGTCTGTGTTGTTTTGACGTTACATTGTATTGTGTGTTCACCCTCTGTAGTCTCCACAAGTATCGCTCAACATGTAATTCTTGTTTTGCTAATTCTACATTTGTTTAAAACTATGAATATTTATGGTTTAGAGAACATCCCCCCCAAAAAAGAAAACGTAAATTATCCTCAAGCTCTTTCATCTCATGCTCTGCTCTGCTCTCACTAGTCTAGCTGAGTCGCACTGGGGCTTGACGCTAAACCTAATATTCTAATGTTTTCTTATCTGTGTTAGCTTCAACTCCAAAGCATGAGTACCATTACTTTGTAGTCTGATTATAATGATTCACTCTTTTGCAAGATAGAACATCTTGTATTTTTCCTGTGTAGATGGTTTATACTGTCTCACAATTTTGTGAACGATGATCCTGTACCTTAGCGATGGCATTTTGAAAATACAAGTGATGATATACAATAACACTTAACATAATAGTATTAACAGAAAAACAAACAGCGCATAATGATGCAATAACCTTAGTGCTAACAGTAGACAGAGATGCCATGTTGGGCTATGGATAGGCTGTTATTGTGATAGAAGGGATGTCATGGTGCTCACTGGTTGTTCTTACCCCTGTCCTATCAGTCTCTGATCATCCCTGGGAAGAGTCCAACCAGGAAGAAGTCTGGTCCCTTCAGCTCCAGACGCAGCAGTGCCATCGGCATCGAGAATATCCAGGAAGTCCACGAGAAAATGTGAGTGTAAACTACTGGTCATTTTTAACAAGGACGGTGTCAAAATTCAGGGACACGAATATTGTAAACATGATGTTGAGATGTTAGTGACGATGCCTCTGTGTTTCTCTCTGATACCCTGTCCCTGTATTTGTATCCAATGCCATGTCGCTGTGTTGGTATGTACCCTCCTGCCCGTCTTATTCAGCCTTGTCCCCTCCCCCCTCAGCAGCAGCTACAGCAGTAGGGAGTGTTTACCTGGCACACAGAAGACACCTGACAGTGACCACACCTCTCAGGACCCCAAGTCTGAGAACTCCTCCAATCAGAGCTCACCAGAGGCGCTCACCACAAAGAACATGTGAGTAGATGACATCACAGATACAGGCCAATATGATCATTCACATTAAAATGTAAGTGTCATATCAACACGAAAGTCCAACATCACCAGGACAATGTGATTTAGGTACCCCCAAGTACCCTCACATATGTACATCTTCTTCTGTAGACAGTGTATGAGTAACTCATTGTATAGTTCTATTGGTGTACCAATAATGCAGCATGGTCCTGTCACAGTGTTGCTGGCTGACTCAGGATGTAGGTTTGCTCTTTGTAACAACAGAACCCAGTCTATCCCTGAGGGTCACAACCTTTCCCGCTCCTCCTCCAACGCCAGCAGCTTCACCAGTGTGGTGGAGGAGAATGAGACAGAAGCCATGGAGGACTACGACACTGGCATGGTGAGTGTATGCATGTTTGTGTGTGTGTATGCTAATGTTTGTGTGTGTGTATGCTAATGTTTGTGTGTGTTTGTGTTTTGCCATCCATCTAACTGCCAGCATGTATATGTTCCCCAGGAGAGCCAGTCGTCAGCGGGGATGCCCCACACGCGGGACTTGTTAACCTACAGTACATGGCTGGAGGACAGTATGAGCAGCACAAGCACCACCAGCCGAGGCAGCTCGCCAGGTGAGAGGAGAGAGAGAGTGCCCTGGGGACTAGGGGGCAGGGTGGAGATTGAGGATATACATAAAAGAGGGCATAAGGTACATATGAGGATAGTCAATTACAGTTGCTTGCCAGGTCGTGATTGTAAAAGAGAAGGTCTTCCCCATTGGCGTTGGCTAATGGGGATCCTAATATATAAAAAATAAATGACCTAAATGCCATACACAAAAAAAATGTATGTATGCATGACTGTAAGTCGCTTTGGATAAAAGCGTCTGCTAAATGGCATTATTATTATTATTATTAAATTAAGGTCACCATTTGGCAGTTTGATTATGTAGATATATCTGATTTATAGCCGTATTGAGTCAGAGAAGGCCATATGTCTCACACAGTGCAGCCTGATCCTAAAGTTTTACTATTCAGGTCATGTGTTGTATTATCCAGGTCCTGGTAAACCTGATGGAGGTAAAGGGTCAGAGATACGTATCAAACTGGACCGGCCACAGGATCATCAGTCCTCATCAGTAAGAAATCCTCCATCCCGGGTCTGGGCCTGACACTGTAAATGGATGTGTGCTCTCTGCCTTTGCATGAATTCTTCTTCTGTTATGTGCCGTATGCATTGGTATTGTAACTTCTGATGTCGTACTTCTGAAGCAGTTGTACTGTAGTTGATCTGCTGTTCTATCAGTGCTGTCAGGCTGTGGTTACCATTGTTGTTGTTTAATTCTTCCTTGCTCTCTCTATGCATCTCTGTCTGTATGCCCTTCCTGTCCAGAACTGTTAGCCTCTCCCACCTGATTGTTTCCTGGATGTCCATCTGCAGGTTATTACTTTCTTCATACTGTCTTGAGTCTCTCTCTCCAATAAGTACCCATAAGTGCACATAGAACAAGTTTGTCAATTATTATTTTAAAGGTTACTCCAAAGAAGAAACAAGACCTGCATTACTTATTCTCATAAAACATTGTATGATGTTTTCACATATATTTCTATATTTTGCTGTCAGCCTTTAGTAAGAGTCTGATCTTGTCTCCTATCCCTAAAGCATTCCCATAAGACACAATCCTTCCGGGAGATGAGACGAGCGCAGGCTTTCGCCGTAACCAATGACGACGATGAGGAGGTGTACCCTGACCAGTCTGCTGGTCAGTGAGACCAGACCACCCCTTCCCAGAAGCCCCAGCGGTGGCGTGGGCGAGGGCTGGCATGCCAGGGGAGGAAGTCATACACAAACTTTTCCAAAGTGTTGTTTATTTCTGCTCACTCTCTCACTTGTCTGTCTGTACACATATCTTCTGCCTGGCTTTGTGTTTCAGAAGCACTCTTTTCTTACCCATGAAGTAAATAGGTCTATTTGTCCCAGTGAACAAATGGTACCTTTGGTTCAGTTTTGTTGAGGCCTACTGTATATAGACATGCGGATCACACTCTGCCAGAGACTTTGTTATGGGCATGTTGGTGTAGTCACATGGATTGTTCAGTATAGTGGGAAAGAATCTATTCAATTTGATTTAACCCATTTAATCTCAAATACCAATACCAAATATCCAACAACAAAGATGTGTGCTTTTTAATTAAATGTCCATTATTGGTTATGTTGAATACAGTTTAATGTGTTAGTGATTTTTCAGGTAAAGTGATTGTAATTTGTCTATTAGCCATAGCTTTAACTTACTGTATAGAACAGTACAGCCAGTTGCTCTGACAGAGTGAATATTTTCTTCTCAATATACAATAGCTGGGATATTGTCGTCACAATATACAATGTACTTCAAGCCTCACATGCTCATACTGTAAATTAAAATGAAGATAGACATCTAACAAGAAAAAAAGGAAATATAGCCTTAAACCTTTAAAATACAGTTTTTCTTAACCTTCAATATTCATTACTACCCTTATCAACATGGTCAGAAGCAGACTGTAATTGGACAATGCATGGTTTCAGATTATATGGGGGAACTTTATGTTTCACACTATTTTTGAACACAGGATGCTCATTGCTAACTGGTACCGATGTATTATTGTGAACCACCATCAATTTGTGTAATTGTAACCTAACAGGCAATTTTTGCTTTGCACTTTCTGTCCACAGAAACAGTTCTCTATTATGTTGTGTATCAAGCAGGTTACCGAGGTCAGGAATGTAAAGATGCGTTGATGACTACAGGGGTAATTCATAACTGAATTGGATAACATACTGTATTAGTCCATCCTATCAGCTACTTTGCCGGTCTACTCTACATTACAAATCCTGCAGCCTAAGTGTTGTCATCGGTACCCGCAGAGAAATATGTTTGTATTTATTTATTTGGTTTTATTTGGGGATGGGATGGGGGACTACTGTATTATTATACAGTATATTTCACTGTTTCACAAGAGTCATATTCTGTTGATAGATTGATAGTATATTATGGGACAGATGTACAGAGATGAATGCTACAGTTTATGCATGTTATATACAGTATAATCCTACCCACCACTCCACGCCAGATCTAATTTAACCTGATAATGACATTTATTTTAGTGAAAATCATGATGGAGTTATATGTTATACATTTACATACAACCCTGTTTATTCTGTTGAGTACTGCCAAATTAACACATTGTGTGTCATGTTCTATCACTGGTGCCCTTATCTTTCAAGTACAATTTGAAAGTATGTTTTAAAATAAACAAAAACTATCCCACACTGTTTGCTCAATAAAAGGGAAAAACGCATTACTATGAAGTGACTTGTGGTTGCATTATCATGATAAAGCTGACAAATGTGTGAGGAAAGGTATCAGAGCAACAAAGGTTGAATGTAGAACAGATATTGAACAGATACTGTATATGTCTATCTAACTAAAATTGCCCTGATAGCTTTTATATTCAACTGCCTTTTGGATATGATTTCATTCTTAGATCTTTAGTTTGTGAATAATGGTACTGTACACGTTCACCTCTTGCCCTAGATCCCTGTTTAAATATGACTTAAAGAAAGATGCCATTCCTCCTTTGATATTTTGTCCCAGGGTTTATCCTAGCTACAACACGGTTCCACAAGCCATCATAACATTTGTGACAGTTAAACAATGAAAAGTGTGTAGCCTACTGTTTACCTCTTTATCATTTTTCTGTACTGAATTAAACCATTGAAGGAATGTCCTATAAATAATGTATTTGATGTGGCTAACCACCACCAGTATCTAAATGTAGAGCACTCTAAAAGTTGAGGCTACTCTCCTCCTCTCCTCTTACATAACTGTGCCACATGGACCAGATCAGCATAAAATATGTGAGTCAGTAACTCATCATCATCAAGGGGGGAAGAAATGGTATCAATGCGTGAAAAGGACTGAGACAGATGCAGTTTTTTTTTACAAATATAAATGATATACTGGTACTACTCACAACTTCTAACCTTACCTATGTCTTTATGTTAGACTATACTCTTCAGTCTTTACGTTAGTCCAGTATAGACAGAAAAAGCTACATTTCCAATTACTCAACAGAGTGATGGTGCCCTCCAGTGGTGTACACTTACTTATATGTGCATATTATTGTTTTATGTGAGTTGCTGTGCTTATGGGATTGTCACATTGGAGATGGGGATCTAGTAAAGCACAATGCCGCACTGCCGCATCAAGTTACTGGAATTTAAATTATACATTATTTAGAAAATGTATGAACACTGCTTCAGTGTGATCTATGTAATTGATTGTATTTGTGTTCTGTTTTAATAGTGCATTCCTGTAAGAAATTATATTGTAAATATGTTTTCTTCCATTTGTAAATATAGCCAAAATATGAAATAAAGAGCCTGGATTCATTCAGATGTCTTACTGAGTTTTGAATTTTGTGGAGAAAATGTTATTATTTTTAACTAACCGTAAAGTTGTTTGTTATAAAGGTTTCATGGTTTAATGGTCATGGCTAAAAGGGATCCAGCTTTTGTCAAATGAACGTCAGATTGGACTTTTCGTAGCAGGTTAGGATAATTAACGTAGCAGATTAGGAGAATTAGGTTAATGTTTGGAAAAGGTTTACGGTTAGCTAAAATACAAAAAATATAATATAATTTCTACGTTAATTTGACAAAAGCTGGATCCCTTCTAGCCATGACCTTGTTTTATGGGAAGGCATAGTTTGATGGAACCGTTCCATCAGATGCTTCCCATCAGAACCTTCTAGAATTAGATTTGAGACAATCGTACAGAGGTATAATTATACGCAAGAAGTGATTGCATGTATTTAGGTCATGAACCCTTTATTCAGGGATACCATAATAAACCAAATATATACCGTGTATTTTCAAATATTGAGCACATTCAGGTCATTACTGAGGCGGAACCATGTCGAGGGAGATTTTATAACAGGAAAGGAGGAAGAGTGTTCTAGTCGGACCGGAAGTTGTCTCCCAGAGTCACATTGAAAAACGAAAATCCATGCTAACGTTAGCTACGCTTGTAGCTAGCTAGTGTGAAGTAAGTCATTGGGAAAATATTAATTTAATTAGCGATTTAATCATGTGTCGTTAGTAAACGGCATACCGGCATTACTTGGAAACGTGTCAAATGTAGCGTTAGGGTTAGGAAACGTGCTCAATGTAGCGTTAGTTAGCAAGAGAGCCAACATGCCAGCTAACAAGCAGTCATAGAAATCAACTGAATCTCAATGCTAACGTGTCAGCAGCTACGTTAGTTACTTTTTTGTAGCAGGTTAGGATAATTTACGCAACAGATTTTGGATAATTAACGTAGCAAGTTAGGAGACTTAGGTTAGGAAAAGGGTTAGGGGTAGCGAAAATCACCTTGTATCGAAGCGGTATGAAAAGAGTGTGTCCCAGCTAGTTACGAGAAATACTATTTTCATGTCACTTTGATACAGCTACGACCAGAAGTGACTTTTTCGTAGCAGGTTGGGAGAATTTACGCAGCAGGTTATAATAATTAACGTAGCAGGTTAGGAAATAGTAGGTTAAGGTTATGAAATAGTAGGTTAAGGTACTTTCCTAACCTGCTACGAAAATCACTAATGTAGATATATCAAAGTGGCGTTATGGGGCCACTACCTGAAGTGTAAACTATGGACCAGCAATACACTTCACATGACTTGATTGAAGGTTTTACAATAGACATTAATGGTCTCTAACATTTTTCCATAGGGCACGCACTGGAGCAGCATACGGACTCATTCATTCCTGATGACTCCAGTTGAATAATCTTAGACATGTTTATCTCAAGGGTGGCCCCTCGCCTCAGTCTGCTTTGCAGAGCAACTGGTAAGTTTGTCAAGACACACATAAGATCTATAGCTTGCTTAAAGTGGAACTGACAACGTTTTAACTACTTTGCCGATATGAAACAAACAGGCAGTCATAATATCAGTAAAACATATCAAATTCCCAGTTTATGCTACAAAACCGACTTTATAAGAGGTTTTAAAAATAGGTTATATTTGACTCAACATTCCATGACGTACACTAAAGCCTTGTTGGCAGAATAGATGGATGCAGTTCAATGCATGATTAATATAGTTCACCAATACATTTCTTGGTAGTCCAAAAAATATTGCTATCAAGTTGTAAATCACAGCTGGCCAGGTACATTGTTTTCTGTTTCAGTTTCCATGACTCTATATTTTGGACAAAAACTGAAGATTAAGGCTGGGAATGTCAATACAATCAAACCAGCAAGGGTAATGATCACAAGTCAGTCATAACGTGGTTAATAGGCTAGCGTATCTATTTATGTAGCAAGCTAAAAACACGAAGCCTAAGGGTTCGCTAGCTGCTAGGAGGATGTCATGTCATTGGAGGAGGGGGTGAGTGACTGACTTTTTCTCCTCATATCGTTTTTCGATGGCTATACACAGCTAAATGCAGGTGTCATTTGGTTAGCTACCTAGAACTTGAACGACTGTTATCCAGTTAGCATATCCCTAGCGTTCGCAAATTCACTCTGGCTATCTACTCCGATTTCAGAGCACTCTCGTCTGTGTGCCAGAGCGCAGAATTACTGATGAATTTACGAAGACGTAACACCGGTTGAATATGACCGGTGTCAGTAAACGTAGGCAAAAAAAGTAATAGTTAGTCACGAACGCTCTAGATAACATGTAAACAGCCTAGCTAACCAGCTCTGCTAGGGCGAGTAAAATGGTCAGAGTGAGGTGTTCTCTCATTTGTCTGGAAGTAGCTAGCTAGCCAACTTTAGACACTTAGTTTGGGTGCTTGGTTGCAGGCAAGCTGTAGAAGGACAAGTAGGCTACAATTCGCCATCGTTTATCAGTGCAATTTTGACGGCCAACTAGCTGAAACAGTTTGAGAGGGTTTATCTAATGTTCCTTTGTTAGATTTTAGCTCATCTCGCTCTGGTTAACATTAGTTGATCTTGTTGTTAATGTGCATAACTGAGGGTGAGAGAGAGCCTATGGTTTGATCAAGAGGACTGGGAAGTTCCCAAATGTAAGAGGACTCCTGTGGTATTGACATATTTGCAGAAATCCATTGATGGCTTTTGGCGAATCCGTTCTAATTATCTAAAGTCGCACTGTTGCAACTGCCTGGAAACACAGTCCAGTTCAAAGTGAATGATGGCAGGCCTGTGTGGCAAATGGCTTGCTTGAATGAAGGCCTACTGTAGCTCTGATTGGCTATGGTGCACCGGTCTGCGTAGACTCCAGTCCTGGATGAGACAGATGTTTTTATTAGGTTTTATTTACTGCAGTGTCTATTAATTGTCCAAACGCACAGCCACTTTCCCACTCTATATTGCTATACAATTTTCACAAGTGCCTTAGCATATGTAATTCACAAACTTTCAAAGAATTTATGAAAACGTGAAAATGACTATCTAAGTGCTCCCTTGTCAGATTTTGTTGTTGTTGAAAGTGTCATATTCTTTCTGGCAGTGTATAAGAACAGATTTTAATAAGATATCATGTTGCTATAATGCTGTCAGTTCCACTTTAAAGTGTGGCACTATCACTTGAAAAGTCAATTAATACAATTCTGTTTATTCCCCTTCAATACTCAGGTGCACTTCAGACTCCAGGACAGTCATTGAGTGGATCTCTACTGCCCATCTTCCCTGCTTGCTGCTCTTCTCTAAATGTAAAACCCAGACACTATGCGACAGCAGCAGACAACACACAGCCTCCCCAACGCTGGGTTGCACTGGAGCCAGAGCTGGAAGAGTTTCTTGTCCCTCGTAATCTATCAGTGTCCCCACTGGAGAGCTGGCTCTCCCTGCGCTACTCCCTCCCTCCCCTGCTAGAGGCTCCTCAGCCCCTGGAGGAAGGAGACATGATGGTGGACACCAAGGTGTTGCCCCCATTTGCAGTCCCTCTCCTGGAGGAGGGTGATGGCTCAGTCACGCCCCTCAGCTGTAAGAACGTGCTGGAGATCAGGCGGCGGAAGATGAACAGGCACAAGTACAAGAAGCTGCTGAAACGCACCAAGTTCCTGAGGAGGAGAGTGTTGGAGGGCAGGAGGAAAAAGAAGCAGGTCAGTGTTTTGGTTGAAGATGGGAGGAAGAATGTTGTTCTTAATTGTTGTTCTTATGAGTATTAACTCTTCAAAGGATACTTCGGGATTTTGGCAATGAGGCCCTTTATCTACTCCCCCAGAGTCCGATGAACTCATGGATACCATTTTTATGTCTGTGTCCAGTATGAAGGAAGTTAGAGGTAGTTTCGCGAGCCAATGCTAACTAGCGTTTGCACAATAACTGGAAGTCCATGGGTATCTGCTAGCATGCTACTTCTAACTTCCTTCATACTGGACAGACATAAAAATTGTATCCACAAGTTCATCTGACTGGGGAAATAGATAATGGGCCTCATTGTCAAAATCCCGAAGTATCCCTTTAACGGCTTATCACTCACAGTTTATGTTACCTCAGTAATAATGTCCCCACTGCTTTGAACAGATTGTAACTACACTTAATACAGTCACTGTTAGAGCTCTAATGGGGTCTTTTCTGTCCTTGTGTGCAGAAACGCTTTGAGAAGGATCTGCAGAGGATCTGGATGCGAGCTGGACTGAGGAAAGCCCCAGAGGGATGGAACACACCCAAGATCTTCATTAAACAGTACAAGTCCAAGAGGGAGTGAAGAAGAGTACATGCAAGGCTGAAAGCCTTCTGGCACACCGCTGACTGACCCACATACTGGGTCATAACAGGACACATATGCTTTTCCTCAAACACAGCAGAGCAGCCTGCTCTCCTTTGCTACTTGAAACAGAAGTCAGTGATGTGGATATTTTCCAGATGTTCTCTCCTGTTGAGTGTGATGTTCGTTGTAAGTAAGTGAAAAGAAACAATAAAGATTTGTTTCCCATCCTAATAATTGTCTCTACTCATCTTATATATCATACCAGTATGTTCATACATGCTTAGCATAGGCTTCTATGTTATTTTTATACATTTTCCTATGCTATTTCATGGTATAAACAGTGGGTGGCGGTATTGTACAACCTCTGTTTCATTGAACTTGGGAGTCTCAAAGATGTTCAGCCGATACAGTCCATTGTTGTTCAGTCAGTGACAAAATTATTAAACAATATTCCGGTAAGGTATCACGTGATATTAGGTCAGAAGAAGTTGTCACGTTCAAAGATGCCAATGTGATGCTGTAGATTAGAAGATGCACCCAGTCTGTTCTCACTCAGTAGCAGTGCCAGGAAGGTGTAGGGTTTCACAGGCAAGTGGAGGAGGGGCATGCACTGCTGGTCTAGACTCTGGAGAAGTCTGTAGTTTTGTTGTTGATGAACTTTCTTCAGGTGTTGCTTTCTTCTGTCCATTGATGCGCACACATCACCGTGTTGCAGCCTACCAACTTTATCCCATCTTTCGAGGAGAAGTTGGAAAAGAAAGATTTCGAGGAGAAGTTGGAAAAGAAAGACTAAGACATGTTACTGCTGTTTCTGAGTAAGTTCCAACTTTTGTTTTTACTATAACGGAACAAAACCTTCAATGATAGTCGACCCTGCGCCAAAATGATAACGTTAGTCGACCCTGCATCAATGCATTCAATGCATATTCATTTCAACTTATTTAGTATGAGTATAGTATTTATCTATACTGATGCCTAGTCACTTTACCCTGCTTTTATGTACATACAGTATCTACCTCAAAGACCTTGTACCCCTGCATCAATGATCTGTTACTCTTACTCCCAATATATCGCTTAATTCTTGTGTAAAATAGGTAAAGAAGCATGGGCAATCATGTCTGCCTCGGGTATCTGGTGGCGGTTGGGTGCTTTTCTTATGGGTTCACTCCAATGTGTTTTGAGTTAACTGCGGTCAGAGTGGGAGAGTCAGCACAATCCCTGTACCCTGTCATTATATGTGCCAGTAAATGAGTGAGTGTCTCACCATAAGTGGGCTGGAGTTACTCAATATACAGGGAAAGGGGATTACCGTTCCAACTCAATTTAGGGCCTTAGCCTCTTATAGTGAATAACATTGTATTACGTAAACTGAATAATCAAAATGTAGTCACCGATTAATGAATTCTTACTAAAATGGTAATTAGCGTGACAAAATGTTCACTGAATGATTTACCAATATCGTGGTCGTTGCAGAAATTGGTAGAAAGGAAACCAGTTTATTCTGTGTTCCAAGCATCCATGCATGCCCTAGAGGCAAACTGCGATTACAGGAAAGGACAGGAAAATCACACCCTCCTGTTAGGGACTAGGGATGGTTTACAGAAATGGATTGATTCCAGCCTCGGCATGTCAACAAAATGATGCTTACCAGGCAGGATGCGCCTTCTAGAGCAAAGAGTGTCTCTGAATTGACCGTTGTGTATATAGCTGAATCTGCAGCTTGGTTGAGTTATTACTGGCCTGTGCTGTGTGCTCATCAAACTACAGTGTCATTGTGCTTCTTTTTTTTTTACTGTTACAAACTATCTTTCTATTTGTGCAACTAAACTAATCATTACCCTCCTGAGCAAAAGCTTACATCATGAAAAATACAAGTTTTTAAACTTAAATCAGTTTTTTCACGTTCAGTAATGTGCATAATTACTAGAGCGATTCACCTTGATATTTAAGTTATTGTGAAAGTGGCAGTCATTAAACATGGCAATTTAGTAGCAAGTAGTTAAGTCTTTAAGTGTTCGTTTTATATGTCTGCACCAGAGACCAAGGAGAAAATTACAGGCTTTGAGTTTTTTTGTTTCTTTCTTTGTTTCTTTAGTTTTTTCTCTGTGTACAGACTCGTTTATACCCTTCAGCGCTGCTCACACCACACTTTTTCAGTAGGCTCTAGCATGCCAGTACGGTGGCACACTCACAACCAACATTGGACTATTATGAGCTCATGGACTTGCATAAACATGTTGATCATAGAGATGAGGCACACTGCCTCTTCTAGATGGTTATATCATGAGAAATACCAGCATCAAAAGTTCAATGACATCACCAAACAAGAAATAGTCATTTTAATCCTAGGAGAACCTTTGAAATAAATGTTATTTCAATGCGCCAAGAGACAAGCAACTAATCACATAGGGAGTAAGTTTACTGACAGTATATTAGTAAAAACAGCAGTCGATGTGAAACCATGACAAGACTGCATTGGAATGTATGAGAGGAGATGAGCAAGCATTTCATGGTAAAGTCTACACCAGTTGTATTCGGCGCATGTGGCATTTACATTTTAGTCACTTAGCAGATGCTCTTATCCAGAGCAACTTACAGGAGCAATTAGGGTTAAGTGCCTTGCTTAATGGCATATTGACAGATGTTTCACCTAGTGGGCTCGGGGATTTGAACCAGCGACCTTTCGGTTACTGGCCCAACGCTCTTAACCACTTGATTTGATGAGTCTCTCCCTGAGTCTTATCACTTTTCCTCATGTGAGGGGCGTCTGTCATATCAGCAGATGATCAACAAAACACCTGGGCTCTACTGTCTCTGAAAACCTCACAACTACCCCTTAAAAACAGCATAGGCCTACTCAAAACCATTAGGATAACTTTACTTTCCATTTTTATGGTGTTAATTTAACCAAAACATAAGCTAAACCTCTAGGATTGAACGAGAATAGCTAACCTAACATTGGTGTATGAAATACGATAGGCATCTATGATCTAAGTAATAGTCACCCAGCTGTAGCTGTGGCAGTGGGCACTTTGACTGGTGAAGGCTGGCTGGCTGTGTTTACCCCCAGGACTTTGGCCTTGACAGAGTTTAGCAGGGGAATGAATGGAGCCTCTGTGTTGCTGCCTGGGCTGTATGATTCTCTCCGCAGCTGGCCCTTAGGTAAACAGCAGATGTAATAGCGCTTAGTGAAAATCTGGGTTAGAAATAGTAGACTTGCTACAGTAATGTATATACTTCTCCCTGTTTTATTCTTACCCATTCTTCTTGTTTTTCTCTTGACCTATTTTTCTCTCTTCCTCCACCCAGTTGTCTCATTGACGCAGCTGTTATACCAGTCAGCCTTAACTACTGTATAAGCTATCCGTTCACAACAACAGTGCAGTGACCACAACTCTGGGGTCAGCTCAGGTCCAACCCTGCCAGACGGATATTTATGGTTCCTATGATGACAATTGCATTTTCTGTTATTTGTTTCAGTTTCTGCTGTCTTCTTCATGCCCAGTGGTAAGTCCTCATAAAATAGAAGCTTTATTGTATTACTCATTTTTATGCATGTATTTGCTGTGTACATTTTGTTTAAGTGTGTGATTTCTGGGGTTTGGGGTGTCTTCCATGAGCTTGTTGAGAAATGTTGTTTTCCTATTGTGTTTTTTGCTACATTTTAAAATAAGTCCTGTGTGTGTTGCATTAGCATTGGGCCAGAGCAGCAGTAGTCTAGGTGTGGTGGTGGAGGCCCGCAACATCACCCTCCCAGCCGGGACCCAGGCGGTACTGCCCTGCAACAGCCCCCGCATGGTGTGGACCCGCGACCGGCTGAAGGACCGCCAGAGGGTGGTCCACTGGGACCTGGTCCGAAGCATACCAGAGTACTCTGTGGAGAGGATACTGGACATGTCCCCCGGCGTCAAAGAGAGAGTCTACAATGGGTTCAACAAGGGCCGCATAACCATCCCCAAAACCGCCTTCACTGACGGGAACTTCTCCCTCGTCATCAACAGTGAGTTGGGCCTGTAGTCTACTGTATGCTCATGACTGTAAATGCTCCATAAAAGATTATGGCATTTCACACTGGACCACATTAATATTGCACTCATTCCTATAAATCTAGAAAATGTAATGTAATTGGAATATGTGTTATGCCAGATGTGGGAGCAGCTGACCGAGGTGTTTATAGTTGTAACCTGCACCACCACTACTGCCAGCTGCACCAGTCCATCAAGATACAACTCAACACCACCAAGTCAGGTGACTATCCACAATATGTATCTGAATTATGATGATTTGAATAGTCTTCCATACAGTATCTATAATGCTTAAATCAATAATGCTATTCAACCTGTTCCATCTCAGCCCGTAAGGAGAAGCGGTACTGGGATGGTGACAAGACAGTGTTTGTGGTGTTGCTGGGGAGCTCAGTGGTGTTGCCGTGTGTGAACCGGCGGCCCCTGTGGACGGAGGGCCTGCAGGAGGACCAGCAGCAGGTAGCCCACTGGGACTGGCAGCCCCCTGGGGTGAGACCTGATTTGGCTGACCGCCTGGTGGACCTGTACGCCTCCGGAGAGCGCAGACAGTACGGACCACTCTTCCCCGTGGACAAGATGAGTGTTTCTGAGGATGCCTTCTCTGTAGGGGACTTCTCTCTGACCATCGCTAACCTGCAGCCCATCGACAAGGGCCTGTACTCCTGCCACCTGCACCACCACTACTGTGGACTGCACGAGAGACGCATCTTCAGGCTCATGGTGGGGCCTCCACTGCCCCCACCTCCTCCGGTCCTCACTGCTGCTCCTGCTGCCCCAGCTGTCCCCCACGCACTCCCTAATGACGACCCAAGTAAGACACTCAACATATCCCTATCTCTTAGGATTTGTTCTCTGATTGAAAGTGTGAACCTTTTAAAAACGTTATTACAACATGGCAGTCATAGTTAGAATAAAGCTACCTGTGTTTTTGTTCTTTGAAATCACTTTCTCTTTTCAACTATAAATCCTTCTATCTTCTCTCTATCATCTCTTTCACATCTTCCCTGAGCTTCGTTTTCCCTAATCTGATTGGTGTGTGTCTGCCTGTCTTTTCAGATGCCTGTGTGTAACTGGGGTATATTTATGGGTCATATTTATAGGCATTTTTGGTCAGTTATGTCAGTGCATCTTTGTGCCAGGTCTCTCCTCAAACATTTTCTCTGTCCGCACAAGAGGAAGGGGGAGAGAGAAAGAGGGAATGAAGGAGTTGGCGAAAAAGGCAACAAAAGAAACAGATGGAGAAAAAGGGAGTGAGGAAAAAAAGAATGAAAGAATGCATTTGGCCGCAGATGAACCGACAGAGAGCGGGAGAGAGAGCATTGAGAGTTCTGGAGTGTGGAGAAAGGGAATGGGTTTTGTTTGGGGAATCTCACTGATGTTGGACTGCAGGCAGCCTGTCTGAAAGTCTGTCTGAAAGGCCACTAATTGGCCATAACGGAAGTGCTCTCATTTTCATTGGAGACCTTTTTCATTTTTCTGTATTTTAGCAAATGGCTTAGTTTACAGGAGGAGCCATTATAGCTCAACAGAGTCAGACAGGGGTACTGAAGCCAGACTCCAGGGGAAGGAGGGAGCATGGTGAGGCTTTGACCTGGTGAATTTTAGTTTCATTATCTCTCTACAGTAACCTATCAACAGAACAGTCTCTCTCCATCACTAGTCTGTTTCTCTCCTTCTCTCTGGCCCTCTGGTTGTGGCGTGTTCATCAGCTGCAGAAGGAAGTGTGCTACATCTGTTCAGCACCTGGTGCAGCTGGGACATGAAAGGGAACAGTGGGGGTGGTGTTGGCAGGGGTTGGTTCTGTGTTAGATTTGGATCCTCCTTCGCCCTTTTAAGATAGGTTGATCCGTTTAACAGCATTGTAAAGTATGCAGGGAAGAAATTCACGTGGATCAATGCAGACATGTCTTGAGTTCTTTCGTTTGATCTTTACTTTTTGACTTCAGCTTTCTTCTACTTAGTTGTGCTCTTTCTTTTGTTAAATCCAGCCAACTCTTATCTGCATTCTCTACAATTGCAACAGCCATTACCCCACTTGTTTGTTACACTGTAATCATTTATGGCAAGCTAAAGTAGAGCTCAGTATTGTTGTGACCACTGGAACCTGGATAAGTCAGAAACTGCATTTAGAATAGAAAATAACCGAAAATGCTGTCAGTGTCGGCTTCCTTCAGCACATTGGCTTGCTAATTAACCACACTCTTTCAACAAGACTAAAACCACTCACTGTGTGACCTCTGCACGGCACATGTCACATTGTGTTTCTGCGTGTAAGTTATTGTCTGATCTGTTAGGGGAATGGAAACAGGCATCAGCTGAGACACGGAGAGAGAACTGAGGCAAGACTAATTGTTCTCCAGAGATAGTTGACTTTGACCATGACACTGCGGTTTCATGCATATTAGGAACATTCAAAACAGACAAGAGATAATTAGCAACTGTTAAATTAGATGAATTCACTACAATTTGTTCTGTAAGACTGGTGCCGTTTGCAAGATCCACCCAGGGATGGTATCTGTCCTCAGCTCATTTCTTTTTTTAAGCCTGCTTCAAGCTAGTACCTATCCTCAGACTAATTTAATCAGTCATGCGTCATAACATATCTGCGGTTGGACCAAGGACAACAGATTTAAACTAAACAAATGCCTCTAGGTGATGGAAAGCGAAAGTATTTTAGTGTCATCAGCCTTCCCAGGCTTGGTTAATACAGGTCTCCACCATCATTATCCCTAATGACTATCATTTCTGTTCTCACCCCAGCAGGTGAGAGAGACCTGTGTAAAGGTTAGATAACAGTGGCAAGCTGATTAAGGGTTATGGTGCAGTAACTGTAATTGTGTAATGGAAAGGTATGGTACATATTATTTTGTGCAAAGGGTTTGAGCAGATCCTAGCCAGTGGAAGAAACACCTCAGTGAGGGAAGTAACAATTTTAAATGCCAATTTGTAATAGCTATTTTTGTTGATTAAATCACATGGTTTTCACAGTTAGCAAATCCCGTTCTCCCCCGTCTCTCTGTTATTTTAGTTAATGAATTGTCTGAAACCTGGCAGAAGTGGTGTTTGTGTTGCACAGAGCATGACTGTGAGGTGAGTGTTGTCAAATGTCTGCTTACACTGACCTGTCAGACTTGTGGAGTTTCAGGGACTGAGAGAGATAGCAACAGCTAGGGTTTCTTTTTCATACTTTGCAAAAAGTTGTCTGTGTTTATGAGAAAAGGTAAATATCTGGAAAATTTATTCAGACAGGCTGACCACTCATAACAGAATTCCTCCCCTCCCTCCTTCCTTTCCTCCCTCTCCTCTTTCTTGGTTAATCTGTATTTCTCTTTTAAGGTATGGAAGTCATTACAGCTGAACCACTCCAACTCTTCCTTTCCTCACGCTCTCTGAAATAAATTAAAACCAGCCTAAAAATAGTGGCACGATTGTTTTTCAATGATGCAGAAAAACATAAAATTGTAAATGTCCTTCAAAATGCATTATCAATGAGTGTTCAAAACATTAAGGACACCTGCTCTTTCAATGACAGACTGACCAGGTGAAAGCTATGATCCCTTATTGATGTCACCTGTTAAATCCACTTAAATCAGTGTAGATGAAGGGGAGGAGACAGATTAAAGAAGGATTTTTAAGCCTTGAGACAACAACTCAATATTAGGAAGGTGTTCTTAATGTTTTGTACACTCAGTATATAACCAATACATACTGTATAATGATTTGAACTATCATTAAGATAAATCATTTGATTTATATTTTAATTTCACTCAGCATGGGTAAAACAAAATGTGACTAAGATAATGTTCAACCACCAGCCTGTGTTTATAACGCAATGAGTGTTATTAGTGGACCAGTGAACCCACAGAGTGTTGTCCTTACACCTTCAGGCCACAACGTGGTTGAACTTGAGAGGCCACGAGTAGTCAACGTCATCCTCCCTGAGCACCGAGGGCACTTCTTCCAGCAGCTGGGTTACATCCTGGCTACCTTCTTCCTCCTAGCCTTCATCGTCACAATAGTAATTGTGCTTACCCGACGATGCAGAAAGAGAGGTAGCGTGTGTGGGTGTCTTCTACTCTGCATGTCTCTTTATCACACACAGGCACAGACACACTTTAAATGTCCTCAATTTCCACACTTTATATTTGCATGAATGTCCTCAATTTCCACACTTTATATTTGTATAAATGTCCTTGATTTCATATTTAAATTGGTTGAATGGCTGTGTGTGATCTGTTAAAGGTGTGTTAATCTTGTTTTAGGGCTGGAGTATGACCTGCGAAGATCTAAACGGTGAGAACCGATTTAGTAAAGTGGTCTGCGGTCACACTTGATAATGGGAATGTTACTCATTTTAAGGAGGACCTGAACACTCACTGAACTTTTACGACTAACCACCTCCCTCTCTTACTGGTAAACAGGAGGGGTCATGTGACTGGCCATGAGGACATTGCATTGGACGCCACAGAGCTGAAGGTCTGCAACCAGGAACACCTGAATTCAGGTAAGGCTCCCATGCTGCTGTAGGCCCTACCTCATATAGACAATAGGGTTTGAACAGGGTGACTCATATCAATAATGGCTGTCGCTGCACAGAGTTCATACCGTACATCATGACATGTCAAATAGAAGAACAACACTTTTGCATTTCTATCCTTAGACTACAAAAACAACCTACTGAAAGAGAGAGATCTGTCCAAAGACTGCAATAAAGGTAAGTGTATGTGACATTATGGATTCCAAACAACAATTTCATGCCTAATTGAATGTTTTTTGTTTGTTGCTAATGTCACTTCTCATTTCTTTCCTATTATTCTCTTCCCTCCTCCATATATCTCTCTCTAGAAATGGATGGAAAGTTGTGGAAGTGAGACAGAAAGAGCTGATATGCTGCTGGCGGGTCCAGTGCAGACATACAGGATAAGGAAGTAAAGGATTAGAATGGTGGAATCCAAAGAGCAGGACAGGAGGGGCTCTTTCTCTTTTTATAGACACCCCCTTACCAAACTCTCTTACCAAAACGTTTCTATTGCTGCGTCAGTTAATGTTTTTATTTTATATTTTCATATTCGTATAGTCTGTATTCTGATCTGCTGTGATTTCAACATGGCTAAATATGTCTTCAATTTTGTATTGTATTACACAGATATTTGATGTCAAGTATTTTATATAACAAAAACACAGTGTACTGTACAACTTTACTTTTTGTATGTAAGAAAACACTTTCTATCACTGTATTCCTTTAATTCACTCTTCAAGTTTTTCATTTTCAGAATGCATGTTGTCTTTTAATGTGTGTGGGAAAACTGTCATGTTCCATTTCTGATTTCAGAGCTCAGCAAGCTCAACTCGTTGAGTATGTTTATTGAAATATTTGCACAAACCTTGCTGTAATTTACTGGTAACACGTTACATTAAGCCAATGTATCCTGTCTGTAAAGGGTCATAAGTAGTTTATAGCCAGGCTGTTAATTATTCGTTTGTAGATTGCTTATAAATTAGTAATAAGCCGTTATAATAACTGTATCCTTACCAAGTCCATTTGTGATTGATAATCATGGACCACAAAGAAGGCTATACATGTAATAGAACTCAGGAAAACAAGCCTTGAACAGAATCCAGATGTGTTTTTTAGGAATGTATGTTAGGATGTGTCTGTTTGTATGGGACTGATTGTCTATTTGTGTAATGCAGGCTTGCAATACACTGTAAAGTTTGGAGCTGCCAAGTTGACAAGCCAAAGAATCTTGCAATCAAGGTTATCAGGATCCCCTGTAGTAACGGGAACGAAGAGGACTAAGTACGTTTGTAGAAGATGATGATGTCATATGTTTCAATTACTGTAATTGGATAAAGGAGTCCTGACAGTTTTCAGTTTGGATGCTTTACTTACAAGCAAGTTATCTATGCAGTAGCATGCTGGTTCATTATCTTCCCTCTAATAAAGATGAATAAAAAAACAATACTGGTTCGACCATTATTTGATAATTGTATTACAATATGTACATTGTGTTACTATTGTATGAATAGGAAGAAAATATAAAGCCAAGCCCATTGCTTTAAATTATTGGTTAAATAAGATTTTCTCGAAGAAAGAGCTTATCAAGAAAAATTCAAATTAACCTTATTCAAGAAAAGAAAAAAACTTTAGGCATAAATGGTCAAGAGTATTTGCTGGTAGAGGTTAGAAACCACCATTCATTCTATAGCTTTCAACCCACTAGCCGTAGATAGACTTTCTGCCGCCACTGTAAAGCAGCACAAGACTACCACCTACTGACAAATTGGACGGAAAGGTTATCAAGAAAATCTGTACACCTTGATGATAATATTGATGATAATTATAATAATATGATAATTATTGTAATTAATTAGTAATTATTACATTGATTTACAATGATACTATTGTTATCAGGTATTAAATAGATTGTAACTAGGTTGTAATAATTAGATTACTGTAAAGATGGCTAATAATAACGAAGATAATGATTTATAATATAATAACAATTAGTCACATTATATAATTCTAGTTATCAATATAATTATCAATATTATCAACAGTTAAAACTATTACTGATCAAAACATTGTAATTATCTGTGTTACTTTTGATATACAGTAGCCTATAGTAAATTAGATAGGGTCTACAGTAGCCTTGAGTAAAATCACCACCAAAGGTTAACTGAATAAAATGTGTCCTCCAAACCCTTCTTTCTTTATGGTGCAGACTGCAGAACACTATCTATGACTAGTACTGTATAATGGAGAACATTAGCAGCCTAGCCTAAACACACCACTAGATGACAGCACTGTCTAACGAATTACTGGAAAAATTGAAATATTCCCAACTCAATATCGCAAGGATGTGTGACCGTCCCTTCCTGTTTTAGTACCGAGAGAGCCACCGTACCGAGACACATTGGAGCTGGAATACAGTCACTTGGGACTCGATTATGTCTAGATTTCTGCTTAATTTATCAAAGACAAGGTTATTTATTTTCCAGCGTGAGGTCTACAGTTATATTTATTAATGCTGTCACGGTAGCATTTCGTATTTTTAGGCACATAGATAGACATATAGCCTCATAAGCCTATTTATTATTGCGCTGCCAACCCTTGTTTCTGTCCTGTGTCAATGATTGTCCTACCCTCACGCTCATGGCGGAGACTAAAATAATATATCACATTGACGAGGAGGAGACTCCTTATCTTGTGAAATTATCCGTTTCTCCTGAGAAAGTCACTTTAGCGGATTTTAAAAATGTCCTCAACAATCGTCCGGTCAATAGCTACAAATTCTTTTTCAAATCCATGGACCAGGATTTTGGGTAAGTAGCCACCATGAAAGCTTACAATTTCTTCCCGTATATGTTTGTAGTCTTGTTATTTTTATCATAGAAGTAAACATGTAGCCCAGCCCTGGTTGGTGACACTGACAACCATGTGTCCAATTTCACAACAAAGGTTGCAACATTGTAACATTCGCGCAGGACTGACTGCGGTGTCTGATCTACGGTTGGCACCTGTTCATTCATTGTATCCAATGCGCAATAGAATAGGTCGTCCTTTGAAGTTCGGACCAGTCACACCAATATCCCATGATGACATTTAACGTGATCCGCTTATATTGTTGTCGATGTTGGTTGTGAGGTTACTGTAGCCTAGTCTACACAGAAGACGATATCTCATTTATAAGGCTGTGATGTGTTGTCATCATCATGTAATAAGCCTATCTAACATGATATGTTACGTTGACAAAGCCTCCACATGTTTGCTGTGTGGCACTAGCTCGGGATCGACTCCAAATGATTTATTGCCAGACAGGTTTCTCTTGTGTGTTTATGACTTTGTAGCGCGTATGAGAATAGGGAATAAAGAGAGAGAAGAAAATTAAAGGTAGACTAGAGATTGATGCCGATAATGGTCACATAGCCTAACTGTAGCCAATCATGATTTTCAGGAGACAGCCATCAAATGTGACAGCATGACTATATGATGACAACTTTGACATATATATGTCATGTTAATCTTATTTAATGAAATAAAATAAGCTATTACATTTAATCCGATGCGTCAAATAGGCTTCTTAAATATTCCAATGGACTGAATTGTCACAGTAGGGATCCTGTATCCCTCTCACGCGCACGAACACACACACACACACACATCGTTTACATACGAAGGTAATTTCCTCCGATGCTAGGCAGTAGGCAGAAGGTGAATCAAGCGAACATGGAAAACACAACGCGCCATATGCTACTCATACATGTTATATAACGAATGGGTTAAACATCGCCTCTTTGACTTAAACGCTTACTCTTCGTTGTTTGGATTTGACAATTTTTTTGTAATTAGGCCGCAAATCAGCTGAAAATGCCCTGAGTAGAAACATGGCTGCCCGGTAGAAGAGCACTCCCAGAAAGAGGCGAGTGTCGTGGACTGACGGCCTGCCATAATCGTCTAATATAGAGCAAGAATTGCGCAAGAATTTGCTTGACATACCTCACGTAAATGTGCAGAACCTGACTAACACTAATACTCTATTGTAAATGCTATTTAATAAATAACACGCGTTTTAATTGCCCATGTTACTGCTTTTATAGTTATGGCTATTGTCCTGTGAATGGACAATGTAAAGTGGACTATTGGCCAATAGATTTCCAGTGAAAGCAATATTACTTTTTTCTTTGTGACATTGTAGCCAATCATCAGACATTTAATGAATGATCTCTGACATCAAATAGGTTGGTATACGACTGACTGACTGATTGGTTAGATGTTGAATATATAAGTTTTGATTATAAACTATAGTCTATTCACATATTTTTTTTAATGTAGAGGGATATATCCTCTTTTTTTTCAAAGGGTATTTACTAGTATTAGTTCAGAATTAATGTAGGAAACATTCATGAGTAATTCACGATACATGCTAAGTATAAGTATGAATGATTCTAGTTAGACCCATGTTTTTATTCTTATAAGTATGAAAAAAGTATGACAAATGTATGCACTCAAGAGCGTCTGCTAAATGACTAAAATGTAAAAATGTAAGTAGTATTTCCTCTCAGCCTTTTCTTTGCACTCATTATTATGTTGTCATCACTCAGTCTTTCTGCACAGACCGATATCTCCCCCAGTCAGACAGGTCTATAGAGATGGTAATAGTTTCTTGTTATGGTCTTGTTAATAGAAGGTGTTTGACCTCTCCTTCCCCCCGCCTCCTGCTCCCACACATTCAGACAACATGGACACCTCCAATAGTTGTAGGTCAGAGGTCCACTTGTTATAGAGTCCTCCTTGGAGGATGACATATTTGTGTCAATGTCTGTTTCTCTTCTGACAAGCTCACACCATCACAAGCATGTGGGCAAGCACCACGCATGCAGGCACACACACACACACACACACACACACACACACACACACACACACACACACACACACACACACACACACACACACACACACACACCCCCCCCCCACACACACACACACACACACACACACACACACACACACACACACACACACACACACACACACACACACACACACACAAAGTCATAGTTCTATAGAAGCGCTGACTCTCCATCTGGTGTGATTGTACTTTCCTTATTTGGATTGAGTCATCACATTGAGTTATCACATTGACTGTTGTATTAGCTGGTGACTTTATACTGAATGAAGTCAGCCGCTATCCAGTAGCCAGTAAGGGACATTGAGCTTAATTCCTTTTACCAATAAGTTATTGTGCTACTGGACTATTGTTCCAGTTATTCTGCTATTGAAGCTGTTTAGAGGCGATTGTCGAGCCAAGCTGTTTTTAGTACCAGGTTATCACAAATATCAAAAGATGAAACCCACACACAGAGACAGGCAGTTCTTTGTCTAACACACACAGGCTAGAAACGTCACTACCTCAGACATTTCCCACAGCAGGCAGAACGACCTTGTGAGGGAAGTGGTTTTTACTGGTAGCAGGTTATTTAGTTGGGTCTATACTGTGGCCTTAGCAGGGCCTTCCTGTCCTGTCCCTCCAGTCAGTCTTAGTGCAGGGCCAGGGCAGACTGCTCCATGGGGCCCCAGGTGAGGTGATCCACCACCTGATTATGGAAACAAACACAACATGTTTGTTCTAAAGAGTTAAAGTTAGGGTTAGAGGTTGTTGAACGCACTACAGTACAGTGTTTTAGGCCTATTCAATGTTTCACAAGACAACTTATGTGTCTTGTCATGTCAATCAACACATTGAATCGCTTTATATCTGTACTAGGATATCATTGTTAGATTGTTTCACTGGCTGTACAACTGGCACAGTATGGAAACAACACTGATGTTGTGATGAGTGAAGGAGGCCTCCCTGCCTGCCCCTCGGCCTGAGGTCAGTAAGAAGACCAAGTCCTCCTCCCCTGCTGTGAGCGACGATGAGATCTACACTCTTCAGATCCGAGGGAAGGAAAAATATGAGATGCTGAAGAAGCTCAATGACTGTCTTGAACTGAGTGAGTTGGTGCCTGTTGCCGACGCTGACAAATACCGTCAGAAATGCCTCACCAAGAGAGTTGCCAAATGGGAACTCGGAGTGGGGCCGAAGAAAGGGAAGAAACTACTGGTGAAGGAGGAGAGGAGCGACTCTGACTGAGAAGGAGAGCGAGTCGTTCCATGTCATTTCAGCAAGCCATGACACCCACCATCTGATTGTTCTGAAATTGTTTATTTAGTTGGAAGCAGGTAGGATTGGCACTCCTAAAGCATTGTTTTGTTGAAGTGTAGTTTTATCTTGGCGAGGTTGAGCTGGTTGATTGCACCCAAATTGGCAGTTTTTAATTGATAGGATTCAGATCATATTTAAGAAATATAGTACCCAACATCAGATTTGGATCAAACTTCTTCCTACCAATTAGTAAGAAATTAATATAAAAAAAATATCAAAAGCCACCCACGGACCCCCCACACCCCATGCC